TATTGTTTGTCTCAGACATTAACCGAGACATTAATCAGTTCAGGCTTGCTGCTCAGGGGCCCTGAACCAAGCTTTTGCTGCCTGCATCCGTCCCATTGAGCTGCCATCAGCACAGCTGTCTCAGGTCACTTCAGCATGAGCTCTGTGTGTGCGCAGCCACACGACAGCAGATCGGGAATGGTGATGACTGCAGTCTAGGCTGCTTTGACAGCAGCAAGGCTTTAGCTGTGCATGGGGTTCGTTGCTAGGAGCGAGGGGAGAGTGTTGCCGCGGACAAGCAGGACATGCTGCAGCAGAGATCTCCACAGCATTTAGGAATCGGCATGTTTCCAGGGAATTCATGGCATTTAGAGAAGGTCCTTCTAAGTGAACTGATCCTACCTGATGCCATGTCTGTGTGCAGTGTTAATGATTTGCAAGGGAGGCAGCTGCTGCCAAGGCAGCTCGCAGCCAGTGCTCTGCCAATCAGCCAGGAAGACTATCCCAGCAGCAGGAATTGCAACAGCAGCCACCACCAACCCACAATTTCTGCAGCTGGGTTTTGTGATAACCCACATTTCTAGCATTGGTTTGTATTTTTTCAGTACAAGGTGTGAAGACTGGGATGGTTTGGTCAAGAGTTGTGTCTCTCATGGCTGCAGGCAGGGGCTCGGGCTGCCTCTGAGTCAGCCTTAGCAAAGCCACCACTGACAGTTTTAGCAGTCGGGCCCAGCACCCTGCAATAAGTACACTCAGGTATTTAACCAGGAATTTGTTGAATATTCTTGTTTTTCCCCAAAAGGATTTAATGTTTTAGGGTCCTGAAAGAGGCAAGTTCAACTCATAAAGAACCTGCATGCAGGTACATTGTTGGGTACCTTGGTTTCAAGAGTAGTTAGCTAGCCTTAATTTTAAAAATGGAAGTGAATTACGTTTTGTACTTAATTACATGATCTTCTTCTATATGTGAAATAAAAATACAGCAGTATCACAAGGTCTCTGGTTGTCTTATGGAGTGGCGCAAGCAAAACCACCCAAACCCACATATCCCCTTGAGGTGCCAATGGCACAAATGTCCTCACCAACAGAAAGCAAACAGCCATTTGCCTCATTAGTAAACACTTATTACTTCTATACAGAAACCCTCTGCAAGACCATAAGTTAGAGCTATACAGGAAAAAGATGTATGTACATTTATGACAGGAAAGAAAAGTACTGAGACTCTGGTAAGGCCACAGACCTGCACCTTCTCCTTCACCCAAGTGCAGCGGAGCTGCAACAGCAAAATAAGGCCCTGTGGCCCAATGTAAACAGTGCTAAGGAATCTGTTTAAAGTAAGTTTTGCAGCAAAGGGGATAAACTGGTATTTTGGGAGATACTGAAGCATGTTTGGGGGATGTGCAGTCTCTGCTGTGGAGAGGGGAGCTTTGTGAGAGGCCAGCCAGGGAAGAGAGAGGCCCCACTCTTCAGACGAATGAATCTGTGCAACAGGTGAGGCATCCTCTATGATCCAGGTCCAAAGGGTCCAGCTTTCTCTGCCACCTCCAGAGCAAGCTTCAAGTTCTGATCAAACAACTCGCACCTGAAACAGTCAGAAAAGCAAAAGGGATGACGTGTACCTACAGAAGTGAGTTAACAAAGTTAACAAAGGATCTCCACATGCTTTGGCTCTGCATCCTTCAAGAAGAGATTCAGGAAGTTATGACATCGCAACATGACTGCTGTCGAGGTCTGACTTGGTCCTTAGTCAAGATTAAGGCTTCCTGTATAGGCCTGAATATACGGTAGGACAGCAGGGTTTGTACCAAGGAAATGCACCTCCCAATTCCACAGCAGAGACAGCACTGAAAAGAGCTCACGTCTGTGTCCTCTTTGCAGCAGTGTGCTTGGCTTCCTACCCCCTCACTCAGCCAGTTTTGCTACTTTAGGACTGACTGCATTTGCTACTGTATAGGCAGAAAGCAATGAGGGGTTGCAGCCAGGTTACGAAAAGTGGGCTTTTCCTTACCTTATTGGCATCTCCAGGGAGTAGAAAGGATTCTTCAGAGCGAAGTCTGAGTAAATCTCATAGATTTTGCGGAGAAGAGCATCTATCCCTGTTTGCCGTGGGTCAGCAAGAACCATGAATTTGATCCCTGGAGTCATAATGCCAGGAGCATAAGGAAGGCCGAGCACAGAGACGGCCCTGACAAGGCAGAGCAGTACTGGGTGCCTAGGGCCCGATGGTACCTGTCAGTGTCTGGAAGCAGTGCAACTTGAAGGTGTCGGTCTCCAGCATCTCGATCCCAGAGCTCCCAACTTCAGGTGACAGCTGTGACCCGATGGCGAACAGCCTGTGGGGACAGGCCCCTCAGAGTCCCTCACCACCTCTGCCCTGCCGCCCCCGTCCCGTCACGGCCCACCCTGACTCACGAGTGGAACATGGAGGCCAGCATAAGCTTCTCGTTGGAGGTGAGCCGGTGGCGGCCAAAGCGGATGGACACGGGGTAGTTGGCGGGGTTACCCAGGAACTCCAGCACGTCCTTCCCGTCCGCCGTGAAGCGACCATTGACCTCGGCGCCGTTGATGGCGAGCACGGCGTGACCCACTGCGGGACAGCGCGGCAGCATCAGTCAGGCTGGCAGCACTCGGCCAACAAGCCCGACCTCACCCGGCCCGGCCCGGCCCGGCCCACCCACCGCGGATGCCGTCCCGCTGCCCGAAGGCGACCACGACGCGCTCGTCGTGCGGGCGCAGGACGAGATCGAGCGGAAAGCTGAACGTCTTCTCGGTGTCGGCGCGGGGCGCATAGTGGTCCAGCTGGTAGATGAGGCCGCCAGCCTTGTTTACCACGTAGACGCTGAAGATAGCCATAGCGCAAAGCCCCAGCAGCGGCACCTCCGCCCGTCCCGGCTCCGCCTCCGCCCCGGCAGTGACGTACCGGCCCGCGGGGCCCGCCCCCGCTCCACGCTTGGCTCTTCCTTTCTCTCCGACATCTTGCGGAGCAGCGGCGGGCCGCATCATGGTGAGCGGGGCCGGGCCGGGGTGTGGGCGGCGAGCCGGGCCGGGTCCCCCGAGAGGCGCTGGCGGCGCTGAGAGCGTGGCAGGAACCCCTGCGAGGTGCCCGGGGCCGCGGCCCCGCGCCTCGCCGCTCACCCCCCCATCCTTCTCGCCCTCTCGCAGCCGCCCAAAGACGACAAAAAGAAGAAGGACGCGGGCAAGTCCGCCAAGAAGGACAAGGACCCGGTCAACAAGTCCGGCGGCAAAGCCAAAAAGAAGGTGGGAAGCGGCGGGACCGAGATCTCGGGGCGGGCGGGATTCCGGGCCTGGCGCGTGTGCGGCGTGGCCGGGCCCCGGAGCGGCGAGAAGGCGGGGCCGGGCGTCTTGCTGTTAGAGGGGCCAGCCCTTCATCTGCCAGCAAGTTATACATAATAGCGTTAAACTCGAGTAACAGAAGGTTTTAGCCTTTTTATTTTCAGATACTGCAGGTATTATCTGCAACACGTTCATTTACAAAGGCGATTTTGTGCATCTCACTAGTTTTTTAGTTCGGGGTGTGATACGGAGATATTTGATGGTGCAGTTCTTGGGGCATCTTTTAGTTCCGTCTTTTGTTGTTGCTTACAAGATGGCTTAGGGGAGTGTTGTTTTTTCTCTCTTTTCAAGTAGAAGTGGTCCAAGGGGAAAGTGAGAGACAAGTTGAACAACCTTGTCCTGTTTGACAAGGCCACTTATGACAAACTGTGCAAAGAAGTGCCCAACTACAAGCTCATCACACCTGCAGTTGTCTCAGAAAGGCTGAAGATTCGAGGCTCCCTGGCTCGGGCTGCCCTCCAGGAGCTGCTCAGCAAAGGTGAGCACTCACAAAAAAACCCAGAAAGCTGCTTAAATTGGGTGTTTGGTTTTCCTTGCTTGCCTAGCAGCTTTCCTGCAGCCTCAGAAGTGCTCCGAAGTATGGAGCAACAGTTCTGCTACATAGAGGCATTGCTGTACTAAGAAAAATGGTGCTGTTTTGATGTAACTGCAGCCATATGGGAATAAAAGACTTGCATAAACTGCTACCCCCTTATTTCCTCTTGTACGTTGCCATGCCTCTCTAGGAACGACCTCAACATGCCTGGCATCTGTCAGCACATGCACTGATATAATTTTTTTTTTGTCATAGGGTTGATCAAACTGGTGTCCAAGCACCGAGCCCAGGTGATCTATACCCGAAACACGAAAGGTGGAGATGCGCCTGCTGCAGGGGAGGATGCGTAGGGAGGTGAGGCTGGGTGCTGAGGAGCTGAGCTGTGCTGTCCGAAGCTCGTGGACAGCTATGCAGTGTGTAATGGGCAACTTCCACATGGCTGTGATGGGCTGCTCTTCCAGACACCCGAGAGTATTTTGCTCACATCCTAAGCAACTTTCTGGAGGAACATTAATGGAAGTTCTCCAGAATCGGGTCTCCAAAATTAAGAATGATTTCTGATTTCGTCCCTGTGCTCGTTGGGTGGGGAAAGCATAATTTGTTTAGCGGGCTGCAGGGCAAATGGACACTTGTCCTCTCTGCTCTCACAGGGCACCATGGCCAAGTGTTCTTGCTGGAATAAAACGGTCAAACTGTTTGCTTTGTGCTAGCCTACTTTGACCTGGTTTTCTGATTGAGAACTTCTTGCTTTGCAGGTTCTCCAGTGGCTTCATCAACAATGCTTCGTCTGTAGATGCACACAATAAAATTACTGATTATATTATTTTCTTGCTTTTTCAAGACTGTGTATGTTTCGTTTCTGATGCATTATTTATAGTGGCTTCTGGTAGAGGTCATAGCTGTTGTCCTGTACCCACCAGTTTTTGTCTTTATTAGTGTTACAAATGTGTTGCTGAAAGGGAAGAAACTTTTCCATCACTTACAGCAACCAATGGATGCTTTAAAGGATGAATGTTAGAATGAAGGAAAGAAACATAAATTTGAATGAAAATATTAAATACCTGGTATTAGGTGCCTGCAGGGTGGGCCCTGCATATGAAATGAATTTCAAATGGTCTGTAAACACAGAGGCTTTGAAAAAAAAAGTTTATTTCTCCAAAAATTCTTTCTTTAATGGGGTATTCCATGTCAGCATGGGCCACTGGCATCACTTGCTGTACAGAGCAGGCTTTCTCATAGGGAAGATACAGCATCCACAGGAGCCTGTCCTTGCTGGCAGGACCTGACCTTGTGTGGCTTTAGATGTGATGCTCAGATGGACACTGTGTGTCCTTACAGGGCAAGGGCAGTCAGCAAAAAACTGCAGCTACATACAGTCTTTCCACAGAGCTGGGTGTCTGGTGTTTCTCATCAACTTTTTTTCTTCTTTTCACCTGATTCAGTTCTAAACTGATGCCTGAAAGAAAGCATAGAAGTCAGACTGCAGTAGCCTTTAGACAGGATAATGAACGCTCTCCTTGAAAAAGTAAGAAAGTACTATGCTTAGTGTTCTAGCATGGAAGCTCCCTCAATATTTTTCTTACTTCAGTGAGTGGTAGCTCCAGCTAGCTGACAGAGAGTTCTGGCACATTAAAAGGCAGCAGTGGAACAATATGTGGGTCTGAAAGGTGAGCCAAGCAAAATGAGGCAGATGCCTTCATGTGTGCAGCCTTTAAAGCCATGAGCACGCTTACTCGTAAGCCATGTGTGCACTGCTCCACGACAAGAATGATACTCTGCCTGGATTAAGCACTGTGTGGCATAGCTTATACAGCAGGATGCCTAGTTATGCTTGCTGCTACCTCAGAGCCTGCTCCATGAATAGCTTGCATGGACAGAAGCCACAGACTTTCCCCTCTGGCAGGGCATCTGTGCTGCCCTGAAGCTCACCGGGACTGCCACCTCCTGCCATGATTCCATACACGGCCAAAGGAAGGGAGCCAGCTGTCACTTGTCTGACAGGTATGGTCAAAGTTGGCACCAACGCGTTCCACTGGGAGCTTTTTCAGCTTCTGTTTCTCCTCTGAAAAAATAAAATTGCAGAGTGGTTTGGGTTGGAAGGGAACTTAAGGATCATGTTGCTGCAACCCTCTGTACCATGGATGAGGACACTTTCCCCTAGACCAGGTTGCTCAAAAGCCCAAATACTTTGTTCAGCAGAAATTTTTCAAATTGCTTTTGGTTCTCTAGCAAGGTAAAGTGACTCTAAAATAAACTAAAAGGTGTGTAAGCTGCTCACTGTGTTTGAGAAATTCCTCATAGGAAGGTCCAATTTGTTGTTTACTTCCATCTTCTTCCTCTGTTAGCCATGGAGGTTTTGCTCCTAGAAGTCACAGGGAATACTTACTTAGTGATTGAAGTTATCCTCAACTGTGACAGGAGAAAAGTGTCCCTTCTTCTCCCAGTCTGCTGCTCGTGTTACTAAGCAAGTGACAAAGTGAACTCTGGGTGCTCTGAGGAAAAGGAGCTGACTTCCCCAGCTAAGGCCATGGCAGATCACACCCCAAATCATACACTCCCCACAGCAGCAGCATCAAAAGTTTCTACTATGCTGATGTATTTCTTCTCCTCCAGTATGTCAAATATTGCCAAAAGAGCGACACCTCCTGGTTATGCTGTAACTGCTTCAAAACTGCTTTGAGTTATCCCTATGACATTTGCAAGCCATGAGGTAGCAACCCAGTGAGTCATGATGCAGGTGCACTTACCTGTGTGGACATTTCCTTTCCCTTCTGTTTCCTGTTAACAGGAACATAAAATGATTATGAGGATCTTATGTTTAAGAGAATCTCTGAACAGAAGAGCATTGTCCTCATTCCCTTCCAGAATCGATTTCTATTAAAAAAAGGCAGAGGAAAGCTCTTCTGTTCTTTAAAAGAGAAGTTTTTTCCCATGGCATATTAAGAAACGTTTGTTTAATGAAAGTTAAACCTAGATAACTGAAACTAGGCTAACTGCTCACCCAAATCCACAAAGCTGTTTCTTTTTGTGATGGAGACCACCCCTTGTTCTGCTTTGTGACACGTGCCGTAGGTGACTTGCAGTTAAAATCACATTGACTAGCCAGTCACCCCTACCTGGTGGCCAATGAAGGTCAGAACCTTGCCTGATTCCATCCAGGCTAAATCAGGTCCTGTCTGCATTCTGCTTGGGCCAGGCTCTTCTGCAGCACAAGGGCTGTCCCTGCAATAAGAGGCCTGCAGTAACTGTAGTGTATACAAAAGTTTGCAAGAGATTTGCAAGATCCCGGTAATGACAGTGTCAGACTCCCCATGTGTCTGAGCAGGGATGCATCAGCCACTGCTAAGCAAAGTGGTGCTCACCGTTCAGGTCCTGCGGGGAGCCTGCAGACAGAAGGTCCTGCACAAAGTTCTGGCTCTGGTTGAAGCTGAGTGTGATTCAGGAAAAAGGAACAATATTTCTGGTACTAAACACAGCCCCTACCCAGCTGCCCCCAGCCCCTCCCGAGGACACCCGGGTGCCGGTGCTGGGGGTGCGCAGTACAGTGCCCGCTCCCCGCCAGGGTGCAGCCAGGCCAGGATACGGCTCACCGACCTGGAGCGCCGCTTGCACCGTCTCTCTCTGCCGGCGCTCGGCCTCCCGGATGTCAGCCGCCATCTGCGGGGATACAGCGGTGAGGCGGGGCCAGCACAGGCCGGGCCGCGGCCGCGGCCGCTGCGGGGACGACCGAGGGTACCTGGAGGATGCGCTCCTCCTCCTGCCGCTGGTGCTCGGCCAGCGCCCGCTCCAGAGCCTGCGCGAAGCGCTCGTACTCCTCGGCCGGCACCAGGCACCGCTCCCGCAGCACGGCCTCCGCCCGGTTCTCCCGCCAGAACCGCGCCGTCTCCCGGCGGTGCTCGGGCCTGCGGGACACCGTGACACCGTCAGCACCACCCGCACCCGGCTGAGTGCCACAAGAGCCGGGCCTACGGCAGCATCAGCCCGCCCCATTCCTGCCTACGCACCCGGCCAAGTGCCGCATCAGCCCGGCTTGCAGCAGCGCCATCCCACCGCGCCGCCCGTCCCGCCGCACACCGCGCCCGCAGCACGGGCACCACACGCGCCCATCGTGCTCCGTTGGGTCGTAGCGCCGCACGGCCGAGGCCCCATCGGCTGCGGCCGCCGCTGCCCGCGCCGCCGCCGTCGCCTCCTGCAGCTGAGCCAGCGCCTCCCGCAGCCGCCGGCGATGCCCCGTGCTGTACAGGTGCCGGCGGCCCGTGAAGGCGCTGCGGCGGCACAGCCGGCAGTAGAGCACGGCCATGGCGGCCGGGCAGGCACGGCAGCGAGAGCCAGCCCTTCAGGCCGGGCCCCGCCCCTCAGGCGGAGCCTCCCGCTGCGCTCCGGGGCCGAGCGCGCTCGGGCTGGGCGAGTTCCTGCGCGGCCGAGCGGGGGACCGAGCGTCGGCTGTCTCTGACATGGAGCTCACATCCAGGGAACGGCTACGAAGCTGGTGCAGGGTGTGGAGCGCATGTCCTTACGAGAAGCGGCTGAGGGACCTGGGGTTGTTTAGCCTGGAGAAAAGGAGGCTCGGGGGTTTTTTTAATCACTCTCTACAACTGCCTGAAAGGAGGCTGGAGACAGGTGGGGATCCGTCTCTTCTTCCAGGTAGTCAGGGATAAGACAAGAAGATATAGTTTTAAGATGCACCAAGGGAGCTTTAGGTTGGACATTAGGAAGAATTTCTTCAGAAAGAAGGTGATTAGATACTGGAATGGACTGCCCAGGGAGGTGGTGGAGTCCATCCCTGAAGGTGTTTAAGGAAAGACTGGACACGGCACTTAGTGCCATAGTCTAGTACACATGGTAGTCTTTGGTCTTGGGTTGGAATTAATGATCTTAGGGGTCTTTTCCAACCTAAACCCTCACACGGTGGTGTACGCATCAGCTGACGCATGGTAACCCACTAAGCCTATGATTATCTATATGTGCCTTCACATAGACACTTCACCTACCCACGTAATTTTGGTAGTTCAGAAATAAATTCACTCAAGAGTGCTAGACTGAATGCAGTTATATTAATAATCTCAGAACAATGTGAGTATTTTGAGGGGGTAGAAGAAGTTCTTCAATAAGAAGTCCTTGCTTGTGGATGAAGTCTCTTGACTTGCTTGTTTTTTAGCCAGGCACAGCTTTTGAAAGACACGTGGGGCAATGTGTGAGGCACCAGTGTGAATAAAAGACACAAGAATATTTGGATGATGAACTTGTCCACGGGAAGACACGGCTCTCTGTGCTGCTTCCCAGGAACTGCCCTGAGAAGAGCAGCCTGGCAATGCTGGAGGAGGATAACGAGAACCTGTGGCTTGGCCACCAGAGGCCGTGTGAGCTGGCATTTTGCAGGGAGTGACTGAACTCACCTCACCTGTAGCTTGTTTGGAATCGGTACCGCTAGAGTTTGGTGGAGGCTCTCCAGTAAAAGCTAATTACAGAGCAATAAAGGAGGTGAGAAGCAGCTGCAGAACTTTTAGGGCTGGTAGCAGAAACAGGCTGTCGATTATTAGCTTTCTTTCTCTCATCTTTCCCTGGGTTTCTGCGTTGTCAGAGAAGGCTGTATTGGTGTTTGGAAGTGGTAACAGTAGGGAAGGGATCAGATACAATGTAATATGGTACAGTGCTCTACCAAGAGAAGCCCTGAACAGTTGTACTTAGACCATTCTCAAAACAAACAAACAAAAAGGTGTGAAAAGACTTTGCTAATATTTCTTGCCACTGCTGCAGCGATGGAAAGCATTCCCCCATTTGCTAATGTTTACTTCTTACTGATAGAGATTGGAGGTACTGCCATAACACACACAGGTAAAGAAGGAAATTAATCCTGTGGTCTGCCTGGTCTGTTCAACGAAGCTAGCAAGACTGGAAACAGAAGTGGTGGTTTCCAGCTTAAACCCTAAAAATGTTTTAAATATATATGTTTATAACCACAAACCTTTCCCTGAAGTACAGGAAAAGGCTAAGAGGCCTTAATTTTGCCTTTGGCTATTCAGTTACTGAATCATAATCACATTGGTTTGTATGTTGTGTATTCTGCATGAAAGCATGTAACCCCTGAATGCTGCTTTACCACCCCTGTATTCCCAGGGAGAGAGATTTTGACCAGGCAGTTAGAGCAAATTTGGGGCAAATTGAATGTAAATCTGCTAATCTGCCGTTTCCTTATGATTTATCCAGGAGCTCATGCTTGTCATTCTTTGGCCCCTCTCTAGCTTCAGAAGGTGGAACAAAAGACAGGAGAGAACTTGCTGTCACATGCAGAAGGCCGAAGTACCCAGCATTGCTGTCTGCATAATGAAGGAAGCTGAAAACATAGAGAGGTGACAAGCTGGAGGTGCCTTGGCTCAGGACATCTGGATTCTTCAAAAGTAGGTAAGTGTAACTTGCACAGAAGCCGATTTATGGGATAGTTTTAACTGAAAACAGGTCTTGCCTACTCCTGCAAACTTGTAACCACAGTTACTACAGGGAAGTTTTGTAAGGCTGCAGGTTGGGATCAAGACCAGTTCTTGTTCTTTGCTGATTCCCATCTCCTGGCATTTCAGATTAAAACTTGTTTGCAAATCATGAGAAAAAACAATTCAGATTTGAGTCTTAACTGTGAGTGTGTGCTCAATTGCTTCTCAAGGTTTCTGACTTTTGTGTGTGCATGTGAAGCGTAGGTATATGCCTTCAGCCATGGCTTCATGTGAATGTGTTTTTTTTGGGTCTTCTCAGCAAGCAAGAGACACTGTATTTGCTCCTGTTTTCGAAAAATGTTAGATGCAAGCTCCCCTGAAAAGAGGGCAGTTCTATAACTTGGCTTCTGATTCAGAGTTGTTACAGGAGTTTGGCTTGATGGCTCTCGCATTCTTCAGCCCCTGAAAGCTTTGAAATTGTACAGAGTGACATCTGCTTGTCTGTGGCAACACTCAAGGGTATCATCTCCTGTTTGGGCTTTGCCCAGCCAATGGCATTTGTTTGGAAGCAAGCTCAGTGGATTTGGTGGGGACCCTTGAGAATACTGGTCATGCCAAGCAACTGGGAGGTTTATATAATTTCTTCCCCCTGTAGTAGAACAGAGATTAATTTCCAATTAAGTAAGTGGTCCTTTTCCCCACCTCTTCCTTTTCCCCCTCTTCCTAGTACAGAGATGCCTGGCTTGTCATCACACCAGGCCACTCCTGCTCTGTTGGCATTGCTTCAGTTCCTTGTGCTGCAGTAAATAGCTGACAGGATTTGTGTGTTAGAAACAATCCTTTCTGTTAAAGAGAGGCAGCAGGGAAAGTACAGGTAGGCTCGATGATAGGGAACATGAGACAGAGAGGAGGCTGTGACCGGTGAGAGGTGCTTGCTCCATTGGCACAGGACCCGGCGCTGTGTCACGGTGCCCAGTTATTCCTGTGAATGACTAACGTGTCTGATGGTACCACAGGTAAACGCTGCTGTCATTGTAGCCGTTCACAGCCTCCTCAGGATGTGAGAACACTGCAGATGTACTTGATGAGGATCGCAGCCTGTTTTATTAGCTGCATTCTCTCTGAATGCATACACTGTTTTTCTGGTGGGGGAAAGGCGGCCTCTTACCCTCCACGTTTTTAAATTCTGTGAAGTTGCAGTGAAAGAGCTGAACTCGTATCTACCCCTCCTCCCTGATTTTTAAAACCACTTCAAAGGTGAGCTAGCAGACGACTGAAGCGACCGGTTCCACCAGGCTTCTTTCTGCTCACCTTTCCTGCCGCTCCCCCGTGGAACAAAGCACATCATTTCCCTTTGATTTCCCACTTTGAAAGCCATAGGGGACAGAGTCTGAAATGGCCCACAAGTTTTTTAGTGTCTCTTCTCTGGTATCTTCCTGAAGCGCTGCATGGATCAGGACAGGACTCCCGGAAGGAGACCTGGTGTGTGGCTGAATTGGCCCATGGGATGCTCCACCACACCTGGCATCCCCAGCTTTGTCGGTAGGATGAGGTGACACTGCAGTGACAGGGGGAAGGAGCCGCAGTGTCTGGGATTCGGACTAATGCACATAGGGGTTCCAGAGTCCAGCCTGACTGCCCGTCACCAGCAGTATGTGCCACCTTCTGGCACAACTACTGCCCCAGGGACAGAGGGGTCTGCCCTGTTCTCCATTTATTTGCCGAGAAGAGATGGCACATGGCAGAGTGGAGTGCGTACTGCCAGTCTCCTGCCAGGCAAGGAGGAGAAAACAGTGAGTTTGGATGCCTCAGCCAGTGCCTAAGGCACAGGCTGCTTGCCCTCTCTGAAAGGGATCATGTCACAGGTGTGAGGCTGGAGGAGGGGAGAAGAAAGCAGGGCTTGTTTTTGCGATGAGAGTTTCTTTATTTCCTTCTGTGCCATCAGGACTGGAGAAGTATGCAAAGCTTTAACACATAGGGCTGTCATTTGCAAGCAGGCAGTGATGCAGCCTGTCCCTGGCCTGGTGCAGACTACGTAATACTGAATCTACAGCCCCATCTCAGTGTCCCAGAGCTCTCTTAGCAAAATACAAACAGAGCTTGTCTCTGCTCAGCTTACATGATGACAGGATCATGCCTTGCAGCAGTGCAGCTGCATGCACAGTGCATGCATGGTATTTAGTGCAGGTGCTGCAGGTCATGGCTGTGATGCTCAGAAACAGTGGTATGCTGACTCAGTGCAGGGAGCAGTAGGATAATAAAGTAGTAGGAATTGGTCATGTTGAAAGAAGTACCAGATGACAGCCTTGAGCAAAGGTTAATTAATCTGACCTTTGTTATTATGGTGAAGCTCTCCATGCTTTATAGTCACTTTTGTATGTATTGTGAAGCTGCAAAATCAAGAGGAAACCTCCTTTGCCTGCTGGTTCAGAGCCAGGTTGGATGACTGTATAAGGCTGCTTTTGTGACAGTGTTGAAAATGCTCATATATTTGTGTGTGTGGTTTTGTGTGTTTTCGTATATTTCCCTCTCAGACCCCAGGTGCAAGAGTTGATGCTGAAATCATACTCAGCTGCTTACAGCAGGATGACCCACATGTTGGGGCTTTAACCTCTGTGTAAGACCACTCTCTGTGATTCAACCCTGCTCACCCTGCTAGTTGAGAGTCACTGAGATTAGGAGGACTATATCAGTGAAGGTTTAGTTGGATAAAAACCATTCTCTTAACAGTGCTGCTTGAAACAGGGATATTGTATCTTTAAGGCACCCCCTTCTCATTCCCCTAATACCTCTAGGCCTCTGAATGATTCTAGAGGAGAGGATCAGTGCAGGAGTTTAAGGCATCTTTCCCTGCCCTGCTGCACTGCTCATT